CAAATTAAAAAAAAAAAACATGATCTTAGAATCATGAGATTTTGCTCTTACCTTTTTATATTAGTTTCCACACCACCACATTTCACTCCTGTCACTATTCCATTAAGCCTATTATTTCTTGCTCTGTTTTGTCATTTCCTTTGTTCAATGCTTCCTTACCCAACTTGGACTTCATTATTTTAGTTTATTACTATATATAGCTGCACTTTCCAATGTTAAAAACTTCCTTTCCCTGTTTTTTCGATATACTATGTACTTTTAAAGTGTTCTTTTCATATTTATGTGATAATTGAGAACAGCATATATGTAAATATGATCTATTCTTAAGGTATCACATTCAAAATCAACTAGCCATGTAACTTGACCTGTTGCCAGTTGAACCAATCGTTTGTCTCATAATACATACCTCCCCAGTTCTTTCTTTGTTTTTTTCCCATGCCACCTTGCCATTTACTCTCATGATGGGTGCTACATTTCTGATATTGGAGGAAGATAAACTTAAAAAGATAAATGAAAAATTATCTAGTAATTATTAAGAGGTTATACAAAATGATTTGCACATAGGGAAAAGGTTGTGAGAGAACATACTACTTTCAATAATTACAACTATTGTTTGCTTTCCATATCCTCCTAACTCCTATTTTTTCCCTATGCTGATTTACTCATTCTTTCCCATCAGCCTAAAAATTATATATACAAAAAATAGTTTTATTTATTTGGGCTCAAACTGTAACTATTTGAATTACTGTCCTCTAATTGTGGTCTAAGCCACCTGTTGTTTGGCTCTGTGACTTTGCTTTTGAACATATAAACTTTTAGATTATTGTTTAGCTTAACTTTGGCCTAAAGTCTAAGTTTCTTAGCATAATTAATTAAAATTCTGATGAATAAACCTATTTTATAGTTGAGTCTCCTCGCTTATGTCATCTCTTATGAAGTCTTCAAGAACCACTGTCAGATATACTTACCTGTCTTGTACAAAGAATGGCAAAAATATTTATGCTTTTAATGTTCAGTCTTTTGACTCGCAGCTTTTTATTGATCTTTCAGTCAGGTGAAATTTAACTTCCAACTGTGATATCTAACAATCTAGCTATTTTTTTAAAAAAATTATTTGTGGCCTACTTAAAATGTTAAATTATCCATAAGCAAAAATCAATTTGTTGCTCCTCTCAATAAGTAGTAAGATTCAATGATCAATAGTGAATCTAAATATACTAATGGACTAATTGGGCAGTTGAAATAAATTAAATCCTTTAGTAATACCTCAGTCACTTTTAATCTCTATTTCCTGCCTTTGAGTAGTCTACCACAAAAACCAAAAGGATAAATCATATGTTGAGGAAAACAGAAAATGCAATAATACTTAGTAATACTCATGCAGTATATTTTGTATCATCTGTTGGTCCCCCTGGACTATTTTACTTGAATTACATCATTTAAAATAATTTCTGAACCGAGAATATAATGATACATCACGAACATGAATGATTATATTATGGTTGTTCTTTTGGGATTCAATTTGTACTAGGAAAAACAAACACTGTCAAATCATTCTGTTGAGCTCAGTGTAATAAAGAATCAATCAGTAACAGCCAAAGCATTTTAACACAGAGGATTATGTGTTGACATACAGGATGTTAAACCTACTTTTACTTGCTTTTAGTATTTCATTATGTGCTTTGTTTTTGTATGCAGATATTAGTTAATACTTCACAGTATTCATGAGATTAAAGAAATTCATTTATCAGTTAGCTTGGAAGGGATAGCAAATCATGACCTGGACTCCACTGGAGAGGCAGCTCTGCTTGTGACACTCATTAATCTCTTCAGTTACACATAAATAGTGATTAAATTGTGAATTTCTTAATGTCCTGGAAATGTGTCTGGTTCAATCTCTGCATATCACTGTTTGAAATTTTTGTTCCAAGGGGAGATGGCTTAAAATGAACTGTGTTTTGTTTCCAGCACTGTTGTAAAATATTTAACAATATCTAATTCACATAGAATTTAACATTCCTCCTCAAATCCACTACGAGTCATTCATTTGCATGCTCTACATCCACATATGTTCAGAATGACATTATATGGTAAAGAATCAGAAGGAATGGCTTATCTTTTAATAAAAGAAAACACACAAAAATCCAGTGCTTTTTAAAAATTGATTTCATGACCCATCTTAGGGTAATTGTTCTACTGAGTTTTTTCATTAATACTGTTTGCCTTACAGAACTGAAAACGACAACTACAAAATTAGCTGAAACTTAAATTATAGGAAGAGCCCATGTTTCTTAATATTGATTTCTAACTACTTCACAAGACTTCTGTCATTCATTTCCCTTAGAGTCTTAAAGAAAACTCTGGAAATTTAAACCAACCAACCAACAAAAATTATAGATATAGGGCTTGTGGGGCTTCAGGATTTTTTAAGATGTGTTTCTGTCAAAAAAAAAAAATCACAGAATCTGTTTTCAGAATTTGTCCTCTAAAGTTAATTATGGTTTATTGCAGTGTGTCTAGGGATCACTCTTATATGTGTTGTCTATTGCTGTATTAGATGCACGTCGGTCTTTTAGCCTGAAGTTTTAAGGGCTTATCGTCAGTTTTTGGGCTACATGAACAGTTCTTTCTATGCCAGCAATCGGTGCCCAAGTAAACTGTGCCATTCAAGATGGCCTCACTTCTATGGCTGACATTAAATAAATCTGTCAGACAGATTTATTTTTTAAAGATTTATTTTATTATTGCTTCAGAGTGATGAATATATTCTAATCCAATGAAATTTTGATATCTCCATGTACCCTATCACTGAAAATAAGTTAGCCTTTCAGAAAATGTTACTGGGAATTTGGGAATGAAATAGGGGAAATTGACACTAAGTAAAATTACTGGCTCAGTGAAAGAACTTGCTAAGCCTTAACAATCATCTACAATGACGTACTGTAGGTTATCAACCAATGCAATTACAGTTTATGTTACCTTCAAGAGCATGAAATCAATAGAGGTGTAGTAGAATTGATACTTCTCCCTATTACAAGGAGAGACAGAATTCCTGAATTTGTATATTTTCTTCCAAAAATAGTGGGCTTTTGTGAATGTTTCCGACAGCGTCATATTGAGAGTTCTAGCAAACTGGGATCTGTGACTGCCTTGTGCCAGATGAACAGAAGGTGAACACAAGTCAATATGTTTAAAGTGAAAATCAACTGTGGTTAATAGAAAACAGAGATGTTGATGAACTGTGGGGCCACCAGCAGTATATCTGGGACACAGACAAGCACTGACCATCTGTCAGAACTCTTGTTCCAAGTGATAACTAATGGGAAACTGCACAACACACACACACACACACACACACACACACACACACACACATCTATAAACTAGCAAGGACAGGGTAAACAGATTCTGAAATGCCATGTGTTACAGACTTTTCATCACTCTACCCAAAAGCAATTGGACAAGCAGACACGCTGGTTGAAACGTAGAGGAATCTAGAAAGAAGAGTAGACCAATAGGAAATGATTATGTTTATTCAGTATAACACTTTCACTGTGATGTCTAATCAGTCAGTGAGTACAGCTTTGAGTAGAATCTTAGATCACCTCTTCATAAAAAGACCAAGCACAACACATCATGCAAATGCATGCACAACCATGGGAAGATATGAGTAGTTTGACAGAGAATAAGAGGCATGGAAGGTGGCTGACAGAGATCTGATATTTTAGTAGTATTCTCACCTTGGGATCAGTACATTAATCCACCTAGGGGACATAAGCATGTGTGCTGAGTGCATTTTGAGTCCCATCTTCTCTGGTTGTAGAGCAGATTCCTGTAAATACATCTAAGGATGGGAGCAGCTAGTTATCCAGGTACTTGGCTTCATGAATTCCATGTTCCTATTCCCTATCTTTGGCCTGGCTCAGCTTCAGCAATTGTGATCATTTGACAAGTGAACCAGTTGTTGCAATCTCTCTCTCTCATTCTCTTTTTCTCTCCCTCTCCTCTCTGTCTGCCTCTCCTCCTTCTGTCATGGTTTCACTGCCATCTTCCCACACTGTCACTCTGCCTTTTAAATAACTAAAGGAATATTTATACAGATCTATGTTTCTAGTAGTAATGATTATTCAGCAAAACATCACAGAAAAGTATTACAGCAATGATTTGGTCTAGAGTTATCAGCCAAATTTTCTACTGAAGCCCACTTCACATGGTCCAAGGAATGGGCTAATGAAATGGACTGTCACTTTTGCTATTTAAATGTTGCCCAAGACATGGGTTTCCAGGTTAATACTGGACACATAAAAAGAAAGACCAACTTATCTTCAAAGATTAAGCAAGGTCACAAATATTTCCTTTCATGAAACAAAAGAACATATCTCAGAGCTGCTAAGTACCTTATAGAAACTTATTCAAAGACAAAATTGAAAGTTGGAATTATCAAGGTGACATTGCTGTTCTAAAGTATGGCTACAAGAGAGTAGAGCGGTCAGAGTTCAGTTTCTGTTAAAAGTAATGAGATTTCCAGAGATGTTTAAACCTAACATCAGTGAAATGCCAATCAGTGAAATACGCAGGCAATCATGATCAAAGGTTCGTTGCCTTGTCCTTGGCAGTCATTTTCTTTCAGAGAACAGCAAGCAATACAGCTGAATACATTTATCTGCTCCATTCGGAAGTTTGGATGTTCTGTCTGTGCTCTCCCTGTAACTGATTACATAGTTTGGTGACAATGCAATTCATGATGATTTTATATGCTTTTCATTTTCGTTGATAAGTGGGAAAGCTGCTATAAATTCTTCCTGCCCACATAATTATTTATCATGTTCATTTCAGGACTGAGAGAAGGGGATATAAACTCTTACAGCTGATTTAAATCTTAAGTCATGTTCTAAGTGGGAAAGGTGTTTAATTAGAATCACATATTAAGAAACAGCCTTTGTCACCAGTTTCATTTAAAAAAGACTCAGGACATGAATAGAAATCTATCTTTATTGGAATCATTTTCTTAATTTCATGAAAACCAAAGTCTGGTTCCTATTGGTGAAAACTTTCCTCAGAGCTTCTTTGACCTCCTTGTTCCGAAGACTGTAGATCAAGGGGTTCAGCATGGGAATGATCACTGTGTAGAAGACAGACGCCATCTTGTCTGTGTCCAGGGAATGGTTGGAGCTGGGCTGTAAGTACATGAAGATCAGAGTTCCATAGAATATGGTCACCGCCAGCATGTGGGAGCCACATGTGGAGAAAGCCTTGCGCCTGCCCTCAGCAGAGCGCATCCTGAGGATGGCAGCAATAATGTACATGTAGGAGACGAACACAATCAGAAGGGAGGAAATGAACATGACACCAGCACAGGCAAAAATCCAGAGCTGTTTGGAGTGAGTGTCTGAGCAAGTTAGCCTGAGGAGGGGCATATCATCACAGTAGAAATGGTTAATGACATTGGAGTGGCAATAGCACAGACGGAAGGTGAGGGTGGCGTGAAATACTGCAACCAAGAAGCTATAGCAATAGGGGGCAGACACAAGCTGAATGCAGATTGCTGGAGACATTGTTATCATGTACAGGAGAGGATTACAAATGGCCACATATCTGTCATAGGCCATGGAAGCCAACAACAAGCACTCGGCTGTCATGAACGCCAGAAAACAGCCTAGCTGGGCAGCACATGCATGGAAGGATATGACATTTTGCTTGTACAAGAAATTCCCAAGCATTTTGGGTGTAATGACAGATGTATAGCAGAAATCCACAAAAGCCAGGTTGCTAAGGAAGAAATACATGGGTGTGTTGAGCCTTGCATCTGTTCTAATGACTAGAATCAAACCCAGGTTGCCTACCACTGTGCAAAGGTAGATGGTTAAGAACACCACAAAGAGGGGCATCTTCAGCTCCTGACGATCAGTGAGCCCCCCAAGGACAAATTCTGTCACCTGGGTACAATTTTTCTGGTCCATGTATTTTCAGCAATTCTGGAGTAAAAGAGGAGAATTTAGCCAAGTTTTTCTATAAATGACTTTTATGTTATTATCTTCAAAAAACAGCTCTATATTTCATATGAAAGTGCTCATTTCATATTAAATTTATTATCTCACTTGGAGTTTGGGGATAAGAGGAACAGCCAAAGAAGGAATGATGTGAGCAATGTATATTTCTCCTGGAAAAAAATCAGATGGATACTGAAGAGTTGTAGGCTACGAGTCACTCATGTTGGAGTTGGAGGAAAACAAACCCTGTTGTCCTTACAGGCATCCTTGGATTGTACCTTAGGTCCTGAGCTAACTGCTTTCATCTTTGTGATCTGTTAATGCGAGGTGTGGAACTTACTCTACAATCCCTCACATGAAGAGCAACACCTTATCTTCATATTTTTTATCTAGCAGACGTCATGGATAGAAGCTCTGACATTTTCATCTTTTGCTAATGTAGCTTCTAGACATTGACGATAACAAATTAAATATTAATTTTTGTCACAGTATTATGGATTATTTGTAATCAATTTTATTATATCAAATACACTACGTGGCATATGCTGACTTCATTTTGATATGCAAACTTGTTTTGGATAAATTACTAGCTTTGGCAAAAACTGAAAAAAGCTCTGTTATAAATTTTGCTCTAGTAATTGAAATATCTAATATTTCCAAACAGTCTAAGATTTGAACTTGGAACTCTGTTTTTTTCATCATAGCTAATATGAAATACGTCTCTATAATATCACATATGCATAATGATAATTCAGAAAACATATGCAGTTCATCTTAAAATGAGAGCTTGGTTCTTCAAAACTAAAAATAACATATGCATGGCTGTTAATTTTAAAGTAAATATTTTTCATGAGCTTTTTGAAATGTTTTCACATATCAAAATTAAAGCTAATATTATTTAGTCTTATTCTAGAAAGTGCCACTTAATTCTAAATCCATCTAAATAAATTGCATTCTATTTCATTTTTAAGATGGTTATCTTGAGCCCCATGTTTGAAAAAGATCTTCTTTGAACTTACTTGGCTCGAGAGTGCTTCTGTTTCTTCTGCAAGGGGGATGAGCAGCAGCGAACTGTACGTTTTTGTTAGCTATTCCATCCCAAAGGATCTCCCGCAACAGGATGGTGCTAATAGGATCCTCAGTCTGTGTCCCTTAGGTACTCAGGCTGGTTAGAGGTGCATTAATAATATTCACTGGTTTGAAGCAAAAACAGATCTGTAGTTCTGCCTTTAAAAAAAAAAAAACAAAATTGCTTCCTCACTGTCTCCGTTTGCCTTTCAAACAAACAAAACTTTAAAAATATAAGACTTGCTATTGGAAATACTCAGACATTAATTACTCTACAAGATAGATTTGTTATCACTTAGCTTCCTTATTTACCTGCTCTAAACAGTAGTTTACTGCCTTATTGTCTTGGATTATCTGTGGCAATAGCAGTAGAAGAAAATGACTTTAAGGCTTACGAAGGAACTGTGCATTTTCTGTGAAATGATTTGTTTTCCTATCATATTTTATGTACTGGATTCTTAATCCGTAATGTGATCATATTTGGAGTCAGATTGTTTGAGACTTAATGAGGATTAGATGGGATCATAAGAGCACGTGGGTTTTCAAAAAATTGCGCAAAACTTAGGCATGGATTTCAAAATTTTGCACCTAAGCTTTCCCTCCACGCCCCCCAAATCGATAAACTTTAAGGGTACCTTCATTTTTTTTAATGGGCTGAACTGAATAAGATGCTCATATCATTGAGAGGGTTTCATATAGGAGGAAGGAAATATGATGAATGGTTTTCTTGTTTTCCAAATATAGTGCTTCTTGATGGCTGCTCAGTAATTTTGAGCAGCAAAACATTGGCTAAATCAGGTTGCATCTTCAGGAATTCTGGATTCCCTGAATATGAATTTTCTGGGCGAACAGGATACCTTGTGTCTCAGATACTTGGTTGGCATATGAAATTTTCTGTCTAATGCCAGTGAGATACTAGATCACCTGAAACAGCACACCTATTGTGTATAACACATCATTCAATTTTGTTTTAAACTTGCAAGTGTAGATATAAAACTCTTATTGTATCTATGTTGCTATAGTGTATGCTTGGTTCATTTTTATTGAGCTTTGGCACATTAATCAAGATAAAATGTTCTGTGTTAACTTGGGAATTTTATTTTTTTTAAGATTTATTTATTTATTTATTTTTATTACAAAGTCAGATCTACAGAGAGGAGGAGAGACAGAGGGGAAGATCCTCCGTCCAATGATTCACTCCCCAAGTGAGCCACAACTGCTGGTGTTTCGTGGATCCGAAGCCAGGAACCAGGAACTTCTTCTGGGTCTCCCACGTGGGTGCAGGGTCCCAAGGCCTTGGGTCATCCTCGACTGGACTGCTTTCCCAGGCCACAAGCAGGGAGCTGGATGGGAAGTGGAGCTGCCGGGATTAGAACTGGCTCCCATATTGGATCCCGGGGTGTTCAAAGCAAGGACTTTAGCCGCCAAGCCACGTCGCTGGGCCCAACTTAGGAATTTTAATAAATTAGATTGAATTCAAATGTCAGTAAAGACAACAGTGAGAAAATTCTAGATTCCCAACTATGTCATTAAAATTAACCCCCTTTCAGGAACATATTAAGTGTTAGCCAAACACAAACAATATTTGAGTTTTCTATTTTGCAAACAGCATTCTTAAGATTCTTAAGACTTTTAAGAAGGCCAATCATTTTCCAAGCACCACTAGCCACTCAGAACTCAAGTTTGTGAAGAGTTGAAACTTCTTAACCGTGGATTTTAAATTGTACGATGTAGAAACCGATAAATTCTGAGTGTAGTTGAAGTAAAAAGGAACTTTAAGAGTTAGAGACAAAAGTATACATGTTTGTTGTAGTTTCAGACAGGTATTGATGAAGTAGTCTTCCACAGAAAGAGTTGTTGGAATGCCCAGGGGAAGAAAGAAAAGAACGGATTGCGTTGTATAAGACTATGTAGCACAGTTAGCCTTATAGTTTTCACTTGTTAGAAATATCAATTCTTTGTACCTACACTTCACCTAGCAAGATGGAAGCTCTGAGAATGTGGCTGAGCAGCCAATGCTCTATCAGCCTTTCATGTGACACTGGTGCACGCCCAAGTGGAATAACAAACCAAGGATGGCTAATCTGTGTAAGAAGATTTAAGTACATCAATTCCCAAGAGTATTTTTGCTGCAGAACTAATTTTAAAGCAACAGAAATATCACTATTTATATCCTAAATATTGCTGTTGGGGGTCTGTAAATTATCCAGGGAAGGAGATTTGGGGATGTGTGGGAATGGGGACACCAAGGGAGTACTTTACAAGTGTAGAATGACTTCTGGAAGACCACAAGGACCAGGCCACTACATTCGAAGGTGAGGAAGGAGTGTGGGGGCTTCTATGGACCAGGCCACTACACTTACCTGAGTCAGACCAAGGTACTTACCCAATTGGGAGTGCTGGGTATGGCTAAGTAGCATAACCTGCCACCTGCCACCACAGTGGAAAACTAGTGTGCTGTGGACCACCACAGTTCCTGCCAGTCAGTGTTGGGGAAGGAGGGTTGGCAATGTGGGGGCCTGGGCCATGATACCAATCATCTCACAAGAGTACTGAGTCTGTGAGGAGAGTCTATAGGATATTTGTGCACCCACCCCTGTGGGATGGCAATACCCATTGATTTGTGGTGGGGCTTGGGGTGGTGACAGGCAGAGCTGGGCATCACCACAGAATCAAACAGTATTCATGGGAGCTGGGGTTGGGAGCAGGCGAGGATGCAGAACCCACTGTGCACATGAGAACTGGTTCTGGTGATTGATTGTGCTTGGCAGCAACACTTGTCAGCACACGCAAAGACCAGGACTAGGGGTAGACTATGCTGAGCAGGGGGCCTACCACCTGCTGACATTTGTGAGATTCCAGGCTAGGAGCAGGCCTGGTAGGGGAAATTGGGGAACTCCACTGCTAGGCTGCACTTCCAGTTGCTGCTGGTGAGTATGAGAACTGGGGATAGGGGTGGCCAAGCCAAACAAGTCTGCAGCACTAGTTGACATGTGTAGGGGCTGGTCTAGGGGATTGCAGAGTCGAGCCAGGCCCTAGCATGCACTGGCTCACCAAGGAGCCAGGATGGAATGTGGTCCATGCCAGGATAGGCATCTACACCTGACAGTTCACATGAGAGCCAGGGCTGAACACAAATCGGGATGGCTGCAGTACTCAGTGGCAAGTGCTAAGACTGGCAGTACAGCTATGCTGGGCCAGGTCAAAGCACTGCAGGGATGTGAAGATCTAGGGCTGGGAGTGGACTTGGAGGGGGTCTGTGGGAACTCCTCTGCTAGTCTCAGCTCCCACTGAGAGGGATAGAACTGGACTGAACAGGGATGTAGCACCCCAAACAGTATGCATGTGGACTGGATCTGATGATGGAACAAGCAGGATTTGTCTGTTGCACATACTAGCAAGAGCTGAAATGAGTGCTTGGTGGTCAGTCAGGGCTAAAGTACCTTCCAATGAGGGATGGGACTGGGGCAGGTCATGTCAGGCTGGGCAGAGCATCCACTAGCATGCACAAGATCCATAGTTGGGAGCAGGTCTGATAGGACAACTTGGGAACTCCCTGTTAGGAAGCAGCTCCCACTGGTGAGTACAAGAGCTGGGACTGGGAACATCCCAGGGCAGGCTGAGCTACAGTAACCATCCATATATATGTGGGCTGGGTCTGGAGAGAGGGAAAACTGAGCTAAGTCACAACACCCATGAATGTGAGAGCTGAGTAGGGTACAGGGTGGATCAGGCTAAACCACAGCACATGCAGGCACACGCAAAAGCCAGAGCTAAGAGTGGGCCTTGTGGGGGTTATTTGGTGTCTCCCTAAGTAGGCTATGTCAGCCACTGATGTGCAAGAAAATCAGGCCTTTGTTAGGCTGGTTGGGCTTGGTTAGGCTACCGCACCCATTGGGACA